GCCTTTGATGCCACAGGCACTCACATCTGTGGGTTGCCTTGGGTTTTACCCTTGAGTTCCTTGAGTGGGTTTATCCTCTCATTGCTTCTTATAACAAAGACTAGGACTCATGGCCACAATAAAGCTAAGTTGTAGAAGGAAGACAGTGGACCACTGGAAAGTTCTTCCAGTGGTTGGAGAGTGGAAATAGAAGAGCGATCCTTTCGGAAAGGGAGAATGATAGAAGGGAAAAAGTAAAAGGCCAAGATATAGGAAGTGCTGTAATACTTCTAGATGGAAGGAAAGTAAGAGTGAGAGAAGACAAGAGCTGAGACTCGGCTGTTTTTCACTGGAAATTATAAGTGGGCCCTTTCTGAAACTGTTTTCTTAGAGCCTTGTGGATCCAGAATGCATCCCAATAAAATAGTGAGCTAATAGACTTTAGGGGATTTCTCTGAGGACTCTTAAACCTAAGGAATTTAGGTCTCTGCTAGGCAAAGTGTGATCTGTCTTCTGCACAGAGGTAAGTATAGAAATGGCCAGTAAATATTTAGAAATTTTATAGCCTTGTGAATTGCCATAAATGCTGTCCAGAGGTGGGTGGTATTGGCTGGGGAGAGCCAATTGTGGATATTTCTTCCTGTTTGTATGATACAGTAGCTTCATGTTGGTAGTTTGAAATTCATCATAAAAGGAAGTATTTTTATCATGCAAATTGGCAAATGCTACAAATCAGGACTCCTCCCATTCCCTAGAACCACATGCTGAGTGTTTGCCAGCCCATCCCTGAATGACAGAGACATCCAAACTTCTGGGGAGGGAATGCTATTGAGCTAGGTGTTGTGCAACTGCTGTGGGAAGTTGTTTGTGACTGGGGTTGTCTACCAGACATGCACAGACATGTATCTGGCAACAAAGGGATGGGGGGAACTGGTCCTTTGTCACAGGGTATTTGAAATACACTACCTTAGGTCGCTTTCAGCTTGTTCTGAGATTTAAGCATGCAAACAGAGGTCTTCATGATAATGAATGGAACAGCCCACTGGCTTAGCGACCTGCTACTCCAGCTTTCAAGCCCTCTAAGACAGCTAGGAGCAAGGATAGTAGCATAGGCGACAGGTCTAGAAGTTATACGGGAAATAACTGAAGAGGCTGTGTGTGTGTGTGTGTGTGCGTGTGTGTGTGTGTTTTAGTCTGCAAGGGCTGCCATGACAAAATTCCACAGACTGGGTGGTTTAAACAATAGAAGTTTATTTTTTTGCATTTCTGGAGGCTGGAAGTCCAAACCAGGGGGTTGGCAGGTCTGCTGTCTCCTGAGGCTAGTCTCCTTGGCTTGCAGATGGCTACCTTCTTGCTGGTCCTCACATGGTCTTCTTTCTGTGCATGTGCACCCCTGGTGTCTCTTCCTCTTCTCATCAGGACACCAGTCCTACTAGTTTAGGGCCCCATCCTTATAACCTCCTTTAACCACAATTACTGATTTAAAATGCTCTATCAAATAAAAAAGGGAGAGAACGATCCAACATGGGAAGTGGGATACACAGCAGACTCATAGAATGGCAGATGTCCTAAATAGCACTCTGGCCTCACAATCAGCCCTTAAGGCATGCGGATATGGCTGAAAAGCCCATGAGAGAATTTCAGGCATGGAAAGCCAAGACACTGTGGCAAAAACAAAAACAAAAACAAAAACAAAAAACCCTAAATGAAAGATCTCTGTGGGTGAGATCCCAGTGGAAAGAACAGGTCATCAAAGAAGGGGGTACCTTTCTCTGAAGGGAGGAGAGAACTTCCATTTTTTTTCTTTTTGACAGGCAGAGTGGACAGTGAGAGAGAGAGAGACAGACAGAAAGGTCTTCCTTTGCCGTTGGTTCACCCTCCAATGGCCGCCGCGGCTGGCGCAATGCAGCCGGCGCACCGTGCTGATCCGATGGCAGGAGCCAGGTACTTCTCCTGGTCTCCCATGGGGTGCAGGGCCCAAGCACTTGGGCCATCCTCCACTGCACTCCCGGGCCACAGCAGAGAGCTGACCTGGAAGAGGGGCAACCGGGACAGAATCTGGCGCCCCGACAGGGACTAGAACCTGGTCTGCTGGTGCCGCCAGACAGAGGATTAGCCTAGTGAGCCACGGCGCTGGCTGAGAACTTCCATTTTGACTATGACCTTGTCTAAATATGATCATAGGTGGCGAACTCAAAAGGCCTCCATAGCCTTGGCAACTCATGACAAGAGTCTAGGGTGATTACTGACGCCATAAACAAGAGTGTCAAATTGTTAAGTCAACAACAGGAGTCACTGTGCACTTACTCCTCATGTAGGATCTCTGTCCTTAATGTGCTATACATTGTGATTTAATGTTATAACTAGTACTCAAACAGTATTTTTCACTTTGTGTTTCTGTGTGGGTGCAAACTGTTGAAAGCTTTACTTTATATATGCTAAATTGATCTTCTGTATATAAAGAGAATTGAAAATGAATCTTGATGTGACTGGAAGGGGAGAGGGAGCAGGAGAGGGGAGTGTTGCGGGTGGGAGGGAAGTTACGGGGTGGGGAAGCCATTGTAATCCATAAGCTGTACTTCGGAAATTTATATTCATTAAATAAAAGTTAAAAAGTAAAAAGCTCTATCAGCAAATGGAATCCCACTGAGGGTTGAGGCTTCAAAATAAGACTTTAGGGAGGACACAGTTCAGTCTACATCAGAGTGCCACTGTACTTTACCTGTCCAGGCTCACTCTGCATCCCAATCACCCACAAGGATGTGAATCAGGCAAGATTGTGCAGCCAAGGAGGCCTGCCCCAGCTTCTGGGTCTGCCTGCTCATTGGCTACCTGGCTTTGGGCAGGTGAATCTTTCTCATCCTGCCTTGCTTTGTCTGTAAGATGGATACACTATGAGATCTTGCCTTCTAGTCTAGTTCCAAGAAATAAGTGAAATCACATAGGTAAGCTTTAGAAGAGTATCTGGCCATGACAGGTAATAAATATATACTGTTAATAAATAATACAGAGGTCATTGCTATGAATTGAATATATAGTTTAAGAGGATACTTTAAAAAATTCATGGGAATTCAGATTAAAAGATGAGTTTATTTTGGTATGAAAAGTATTTGAATTCCATGCATCTTTTTTTTTTTTTTTTTTGACAGGCAGAGTGGACAGTGAGAGAGAGAGACAGAGAGAAAGGTCTTCCTTTACTGTTGGTTCACTCTCCAATGGCCACTGTGGCCAGTGCACTATGCTGATCTGAAGGCAGGAGCCAGGTGCTTCTCCTGGTCTCCCATGCGGTTGCAGGGCCCAAGGACCTGGGCCATCCTCCACTGCACTCCCGGGCCACAGCAGAGAGCTGGACTGGAAGAGGAGCAACCGGGACAGAATCCGGCGCCCTGACCAGGGCTAGAACCCGGTGTGCCGGCGCTTCAAGGCGGAGGATTAGCCTGTTGAGCCATGGCACCTGCCCCATGCATAATTTTTAAATAATGCACTTTTCCATGAATCATTTGATAAGCCCTTATATGCATGGATTTCACAATTTTTTGCACCAAAGTAAACTGATCCTTTAATGACATTTTCCCGAAACTTTTTGAAGTACTCTAAATTTGCAAGGTTGACTGTGGCAGGAGAACCATGTTTGCTTGAAGTTCAATAATGCCAAAGAATCCAAGGGCATCACTTTTTTTTTTTTTTTAAGATTTATCTTTATTTATTTGAAAGACAGAGTTACAGAGAGAGGTACAGAGAGAGAGGTCTTCCATCCTCTGGTTCACTCCCCAGATGGCTGCAACGGCCAGAGCTGCGCTGATCAAAAGTCAGGAGCCAGGAGCCTCTTTCGGGTCTCCCATGTGGGTGCAGGGGCCCAAGCACTTGGACTGTCTTCTACTGCTTTTCCAGGCCATAGCGGAGAGCTGGATTGAAAGTGGAGCAGCTGGGAAAGTGGAGCAGCTGGGACTAGAACTGGCATCATGCTGGAACTTCAGTCCGGAGCGTTAACCTACTGCGCCACAGCGCCAGCCCCTCAAGGACATCACATGTAAACTAATGCCTCAGTGACTTGGATTGCTATGGAGAAGTGCCAAGAAACAGGAGCTGAGAATTTAAGTACTGGAAGAAAGAGCTGGCTTCTTTGATGGCCTTCTTTTCCCATTGTGGAAATATAGCATATAAATGTTTATTTTTTTAAATTTATTATTATTTTTTTGACAGGCAGAGTTAGACAGTGTGAGAGAGAGACAGAGAGAAAGGTCTTCCTTCTGTTGGTTCACCCCCCAAATGGCCGCTACGGCTGGCAATGCACCAATCCGAAGCCAGGAGCCAGGTGCTTCTTCCTGGTCTCCCATGTGGGTGCAGGGCCCAAGCACCTGTGCCATCCTCCACTACCTTCCCGGGCCACAGCAGAGAGCTGGACTGGAAGAGGAGCAACTGGGACAGAATCTGTCGCCCCAACCGGGACTAGAACCCGGGGTGCTGGCGCCGCAGGTGGAGGATTAGCCTAGTGAGTTGGGGTGCCGGCCCTAAATGTTTATTTGTACATTATTTCTACTCTACTTCTAGAAGATCCATTTGGGTGAATTTATCTAATTTTTTGCCCACTAGAGGAAGTTCCCTTGAACAAAATTATCAAGAAAGGTTACGTATTCTATGTCTCATAATTGTAGGATACAATTGCTCTTAGAAAACAATAGCCAGGGTGGGCATTTGAGGGAGCAGTTAAGATGGTGCATGGGTGTGGCTGGCTCTGTGGCTCATTTGGTTAATCCTCTGCCTGCGGCGCTGGCATCCATATGGGCACCCCAATCCAGCTCTCTGCTGTGGCCTGGGAAAGCAGTAGAAGATGGCCCAAGTCCTTGGGCCTCTGTACCCGCATGGGAGACCTGGAGGAGGCTCCTGTCTCCTGGCTTCAGATCGGCTTAGCTCTGGGGAGCCATTTGGGGAGTAAACCAACAGAAGGAAGACCTTTCTCTCTGTCTCTCTCTCTCTCTCTCTCACTGTCTGTAACTCTACCTGTCAAATAAATAAATGAAAATCTTAAAAAAAAAAAATCCAGAAGGAACAGTTCCCCAGCTATGGAGAGTTGCCTTCTAAACCACCTTTGGCCTCATGTTGCCATCACCTCCCCCACCCACTTCCATCTGTGAGACATAGAGCTGTTTTGACACCTAGGAGTAACCATATTTTCGGTTTTGCTCTGGTGAGCCTGGCAGGTTGCACAGAAAGTCAGCTTGACATTTTGGCCTAAAACGAGTGATAAAATAAAGTCAAACTATCTTCCATGTTTTTTCACAGATGTCCAAATAAAACAAGTTTAGGGGAAGAAGAGGAGAGGTTTGAAGGAGCAGAAGTCCCCTACAGTCTTGCTCGGAGCACTGCCGCGGAGTGAGCTCCGGCCGCAGCGCACCTGCGGGAAGGGCAGGTGGGCAGAGAGGGGGACAGCAATCCTGCAGGCACCACCAGAGGCTTCTAGCAAGGAGCAGAGTGGCTCATCAGCTCTTCTGCGTGTGCTCGCAAATTAGACATCCATCCCAAAAGGTATACTGCAATATTAAAGTCCATTTACACGCGCTATAAAGTTCCCCCTGCGTCCCGGCAAATGCACGCACGCCTGCAAAGTATCTGTAGGTTGATTCCTTTGTGAGTTACGTGCAGCTGACACGGCTGAAAGCTGCAGCCGACCCCGATGAGGATGGAAGCTCGGGCCGGACCAGCGGCTGATGCCTTATGCATAAGTAAATTAATCCTCTCTGAGCAGAGTGGTACAAAATTATTAAGGCAGCTTCCGAGGACACTTCTAAGGCAGAACCTAATGAAAATGTCAGAGGCTATGAATTATTAGTTGCTGCCCTGCTGTTCTGAAGAGCCAGGCATGCCTCTGCCCGTTATCCACAGATGCCAGCCTCGTGGGGAGGGCAGCCAGAGCCCAAGCAGAGCACCAGCGGTCCTCTGGGTGCTGGCCAGAGGGGCCTCAGAGAGCAGTGTGGCGGTGATGTTGCCCAGCATCCACGGCTGTCTTGACACAGCCCCTGTCTTCTGGCCCTGTGGCTTTGAGAGTTGCTCTTTGGGGAAGACCTGTTTATCAAGATCCCAAAAGGGTCACGGCATACAGGAAAGGCTTGCGTTATTTCTGAAGTCACTCCAGAATCCAGGCGCAGTGTTCAGCGCTGACTGACTTTGGGTCCCCATAGAAAGGCGTGTCTTTCTGACTTCACTGATATCTGCAATTTCTGTGGTTCCTCCTCCCCTGCTCATGTGTAGCCATCATCAGGTGGCTCTGGGCAGGTGCACCTTTCTCAGCCTCTGCTCTCTTGGACTCTTCCTTTGTAGCATCTCTTGTACTGTAATCTGTTTTCTCTTTGCCACCCTCCTGTCCATATCCTGTCCAGTCCAGACCTTCTCTGCCACTTGCCTGGACCTCCACGGTCTTGTTCCTCCAGTCTCTGCCCCTTTGACCTTCCTTCCCAGAGCAGAGCAGCAGTATCAGCTAATGCTATTAAATAGGTGCCTTTTCTATGCCAAGTCCTGGGGTTGCTGGGCATCATATTGTTTCTAATGTTTGCAATAGCCCTGGAAATGGTATTATTTACTTCCCTTTTACAGCTTGGGAGGCCCCCAAGAGCTACATAATGTGCCCAAGGTCATGCCAGCTAATGAGGGGGCAGGGCTAGGATTATAACCAGGGCAGCTGGACCTACCAGTGTATGCTAATCCCCAGTCATGCTGAGTTCTCTGCTCAGATACCATCAGTGGTTCCCAATGCTTAAAATATCAAGTCCAGGTTCTTTATCTTGGTCTTCAAGGCTCTCTAAGGGTTTCCAGGACTGCTGCACCACCCCATCACACAGCTGCTCTTTAGCTGAACCACATACAGAGAGAGAGAGAGAGGGAGGGAGGGGAGAGAGAGAGGGGAAGGGAAGGGAGGGAAAGGGAGGGAGGGAGGGAGGAAGAGAGAGAGAAACAAAGAAGAAACCCCATCTATTTATAGTTCTACCCATGCTTTCTTTCCTGAGTGCTTTTAGATGTGCTGTTTCTCCTGCTGGGAGTGCAGACTCCATCATTCTCTTCTATGTAAGTAAATGTCACCCAAGAAAACACTGAACGGAGTTGGGCTAGAGATTCATTTATTTCCTGGTCCACAAAGGGTATATTGGATCTTTATTAAATAGCCAAAAATGTCCTTTCAATAATATTTTTCTTTAATATCTTTTTAAAAGACATTGAAAGTGAATCAGAAGGCAATTAAATGATGAATTCGTGCTGCCCCCAGCCGCTGCGGATGCTATCTGACTGATTAACCTCCGTCGCGGAGCTCTCTCTGACTGAAGGAAGCAATGACGGAAAACGCTTGGCCTATCACATGACTGATCCTGGCTGTCATGAGCCATCGTTTTCTAACTGCAAGCTTTCATTTCCAAAGCCCTGGCACGGTTTCAGGAGCTGTAAACCCTCATGTGAGTAAGTGAGCAGTAAGAACTGGCAGTTTTTCAATCTCAAGTCTCTTCAGCTTTAAACCTACATTTAGCTGTGATTTTTTTTTCCTTCTTAAGTTGGACATTCTTTTTGGTGCACACTTTTTTGATAAATAAAATTGGGTGAAGGTGAATTTGACTGAGACAGATACGGTTGTTCTAGTGAGAGCTGACCTTGGGAGAGAGTCGTATCTGTTCTGACATTAATTCCAAAGCAGAGAAGGAGGGAGAGAGGGGTGGATGAGTTTATAGGGTTCCCACCCTCCATAGGACACCATGACTCAGCGTTGAGGACACTGCAAATGCACCTGGAGGAGGTGAGCCCCTGGCAGCGATGACTCATGATACCAGTTTGGACAGGTTTTACTCTGAATGTCTTGGGGAAGGTCAAGGGTCACGTAGACCTGAGTAGTGGAACTACTTTGTGGGGCCGGGCAGGAGATATCATAGGAAAGATCTTTTTTCTTTTTTTTGAAGATTTATTTATTTTGCTTGAAAGTCAGAGTGACACAGAGAGAAGAGGCAGAGAGAGAGAGAGAGAGAGAGGTCTTCCATGTGATGGTCTGATGGTTCACTCCCCAACTGGCCTCAACGGCTAGAACTGCGCCAATCCGAAGCCAGGAGCCAGGAGTTTCTTCTGGGTCTCCCACGAAGGTGCAGGGGCCCAAGGACTTGGGCCATCTTCTACTGCTATCCCAGGCCACAGCACAGAGCTGGAAGGGAAGTGGAGCAGCTGGGTCTCGAACCGGCATCCATATGGGATGCCGGTGCTTCAGGCCAGGGCGTTAACCCGCTGCGCCACAGCGCCGGCCCATGGGAAGATCTTTTTTCTAGTTTAATGTTTAAGTCATTGGGGTTCATTTAACACTAGATTAATTGTCCTCCATACATAATTGGTTGCACAACATGATTAGTGTTCTTTACGTGAATGCTTATATGTAATCTGAAAACAAAAACATGAATGCAATATGAAGGACCTTCTTGAGGATTTATTACTGCCTGGTAGTTTTATTTTAAAATGTATTCATCAAGTGTTTCCTTACCCTCTTTTTGTTTTATTTTTTAGGCATCCAAAGAAATTCTCAAGATGAGGAAAAAGGACTCGGCGAAATGTGCGCATCACCACGATGTTACAGCTGGCAAAATCCTGAAACACAATGTGACTTCACACCTAGATGGATCGTGCATCTATTGTTTGTTGTCACTGTCACCTTCGCCTCTGTAATTACTGACCCTCAAGTGTCCTGATGGAATTACCTTAGGAAATTGGAAACAAGGAATCCTAGAAGAAAAACCTCCTATTATTAGTGTGTGGAACTCACTTAGAAGTGAATTGCAGACACGTGGCAGGAGTAATAACAGTTTACATTTATGGAACACTCACGGCGTGCCAAGCACTGCAGTAAAGGGTTCACACAATATTAGCTCATTTAATTTTCTCATACAACTGTATGCGGTTGGTACTATTATCCCTGTTTAATGGATAAGGAAACTGAGTCCCAAGAAGATGAAAAGTAATTTGTCTACAGTCACCCAGCTGGGAAACGGGGGAGCCATAATTTGGAACCAGACAGTCTGAATCCGGAATGAAAAATAAAATTGTAATCTGGGGGAAACCTGTTTCGCTTTTTTCAGGTTTCCTAAACTTCCCATCACCACCAGTGAACTCTGAGGGGTGGTGCGTGTGGAATCTGAACAGGAGAGGAGTTGTCTACAGGCCGGCAGAGGTAAAAGAGAGTGGAAAATGAAGCGAGATGCTGGCAACAGCACTAAAAAGCAGCCTGAGATAAGGATTCTGGGAGTGCAGGGATGCGACATCCTCTGTTCTGTGCTTGGTTGGACGTCAGGCAGCACCAGTGGGCAACGGCGGGCAATCAGTCAAGGAGTGGGCTGGGGCCTGATCTCTGTCACTCGTTGCACTGGCTGCCTGCTGCAGAGATGGACAGCTGCTGCAGCGCCTGGGAGCGCCATCCATCCGAGCACCACCGTCTTCTAGATTCACAGTTCACTTCCCTTCTGCAGAGCCAGCGTGGTGGCCTGTCCTTTCAGACCTCGTCTCACCTTCGAGCCCTCAGGACAGGCCCACTGCCCTTTACGTAACCCCACAGGACCTGAAAGGTTTGGGAGCTCAGAATTTTTCAGATGCTGAACAGGCCAAATAGCATATATTGCAGATATTGCTTATACAATATTTCCAGTGAGGTGTGGCTCAGCACCCCGTAAACCAACACGTTTATATTTCTACCATAAACCTATGCATTGTCACCCTAGCTGGGATCAACACTGACTATACAGAGCCTTGTGTCAAAACAATCAGGTTTTGCCACAAAGAGGTTTTGTTCCCAGTTCAGGGAAAACCTAGTTGCTTGGCATTTTAGATTTTGGAATTAAGGATAAGTGGTTGTGGGTGTCGTCAGTTCCTTGCACTCCAGTCAGGAGCATGAAGATGAAGCTGTGGATCAAGCTGTTCCTGCATCTCCTGCATTGGAGTTGAAGGTCTAATTTGGAGTGAGCCTTAAGAACGACAGCTCCAATCTTCCTAGCCCAGGTTTTAGTCAGGAAAGTGGAGCCGGTGTCTATACTCAATACATTCCCTATAGGCTTGGTGAGCAAAAAGTAATAAAGAGAATACAAACTCAGGAAAGAAAAGATCGGGGATTTTGTTGTTGTTGAAAAACCTATTTATACTACTTAGAAAGGCCTCTTTCCTACTCCTCTTGGGAGTTACTTAGCTTAGCTTGGAGGATCACAGATTAAAGCATGATATCGAGAGTTTTATTAAAGGCAACCTGTAAAAATGCATTATCCCAAAGATTTAGATTTCTGTCGCCTTTGCTTACATCATTTTTTCAAATCAGTGCATAACTTTCTTTAAATTTTACGTCCTGCTTTCACATTCCTTCTGGGTTTAATGACTAATCTCTTTACTTGTGTTTATCCTGGTGAAACCTGTAGAAGGAAAATCATAAATTAATGGCATATGTTTGTAGTTATAAACAGGGGGCAGATTCAGAAATACACAAGCATGCCCACTAACCTATTTCCTAGAATTGCGATGCTCAACTCCCAATTAACTTTAGATTTACAAGTCTAATCAAATAACCCAGTCTGTGTCTATTGAAAAGCTGTGCAGTGTGTATAATCTTTCAGTTGACCTAAATCTGTAGTAGACCTTGGGAAGTAAACTCCTTTGTGAAGCCGGTCTCTCTACTGGGTGAAGTCAATGTCCCCTTGAAGAGCACTGAACTCTCACTCTAAGACATGGCTTGCAAAGGCACCTCCTGCACCAGGAGCACAGTGTTGGCCACTGATCATAGGGTGCATTTTGTGATAATAGAAGGCTGTGCTGAGTCACTTACACTTTGTCCCGGGTGTTCCTTGGAAACAATGTGTGCTACTGGAAGACAATAATGGAGAACATTTGTCTACATCTCCGTGGGTCAGCAAGGCAATCTTCTGAGAACTCTCCACTGTGAACACATGTACTCATTGCTATCTTCCTCCTGTTCTCCTTTTCCTTATTTTTAATTTATTTGTGAGGCAGAGAGGGGGAGAGAGAAAGAAAGAGATTGAGAGAGAAAGAGAGAGACAGACACAGAGAGACATAAATGACAAAGAACTCCCACCCACTGATACACTACCCAAATGCTCACAATAGCCAGAGCCAGGAGCTGGGAACTCAATCCAGGCCTCCCATGTGGGCAGCAGGGACCCCACTACTTGAGCCATCACTGCTGCTTCCCAGGGTCAGCATTAACAGGAGGCTGGAGTCAGGAGCTGGAGCTGGGTATTGAACCCAGGTACTCTGATGTGGGACACAAGCATCTTAACCGCAAGACCCAATGCCTACTCCTAGTCTTTTTAATAAACAAAGGGGTGATAACCGCTGTAATCAATCTAACAGATGAGAAAACTCAGGCACAGAGATGATAAGTAAGTTGTTCAAGGAGCCTCAGCTAGTGAATGAGGGAATGGGGCTATGAACCTGTTGGGCCAGGGTCTATCCACATAGCCATTAAGTTCCATTGCTGTCTGAGATGTTGAGGGGCCTGTGGTGAAATCTGTCTGATGGCAAGGAGCTGGTCACTTAGGCTTCTGTAGAACATGCTGTCACTCAGGAGTCTTCAAAGCTCAGGAGTTTGCAGAATCCACAGGGGACATGGGAATGAGAGGCAAAGGAGGCTTGGGTCTTCCGCATCCTCAGGAGTCAGAGCAAGACAGCGCTAAAATGGCATTTGTTAGCACGAAGATTTTATTTGAATGGGAGGTTTTGTAGCTCACAAGAATCTTGAAAACTACAGGTCTAAACAGCTAAGCCAGTTAGTTCACCCAGGGGTCACACTCAATGCAGACAGAAACAGGATCCCCATGCTGCGCATAGCTGTCACATGCTGGCTGTCCACAGACAAGTATGGGAGGTGTGAAGTCAGATTGTGGTGAGTACTTTTCAAGGTGAGCTAGAGACTGCAGTGTGGGAAAGACGGTATGGTGATGAGACGATATCAAGGGGTGTTGACGTGGAAGGTGGATACACTTGGAAAGGACACCTAATGTAGCCTGGAGACTTGGGTTAACTTCCTGAGGAGTGTCAGAGGCTTCTGGAAGGATTCACAGGAGTTAGGGGTTCAGCAGGGGGTGGGGAGCAAGGCACTGCAAGACAGAGCTAGGAGATGACGTGGCAAATATGCCAGTATGCAAGCTGTCTGGAAGGCAACGGTGATGGCAAAGGGCACACAGGTGGGGTTTGGGCTGAGATGGTGACAGACCTTTGGTGCTGTCCCAAGACTTAAGAATTTATCTGCAAGGCTATTGGGGCCATTAAAAGGTTGAGAGTAGGAAGTGGCATGATTGAATTCCTATTTTGGAGAAATTACACTGGCAGCAGTGTGAAGGGTGCAATGGGAAGATCAGAGACAGGGAAAGGTTGTAGAAGGCAGGAGGAATGAAGAGAGAAGTGGCCAGTGTTGAGAAGATGTGCAGAGCTGAGGGAGGAGAGGCACCATGGGAGGACAGGGAAACTCAGGAGCCAGGGATCTCCTAGAAACCAAGGAGAGGGAGGTGGGCATGAACAAGTGAGGAAAAGAACCAAGCCTGCTTATGGTGGTGGCCAAGGATAGTTTGCCCACCAAGTGCCCATGAACTACTGACCAGTGGAGGGCAAGGACTGAAGGGTGAGAGCCTGCTCGCTTCTTTCCATGCAGCGAGTGTTTGGGAAACACTCCAACTCTTGGCCAATGACATGGGTCCATGATGCCTCTTGTTGATGATGATGCCCTGAGAGCTTTCACCGCAGAGACAGGCCAGCTTGTTTAAATCTGTTCTCAAATAATAAAACACAGGCAAAGCTACACCCTGCCAAAATCCTGCGCCGTGATCAAACCATGGACAAGTTCCATTGGGTCCTTTCAGACACCCTTTGTATTTCAAGTGGGCAGAAATGGGGAAGTAAAGACAAAACTTGCCTTCCGGTGATCCTCCTGTTGTTTTCTTACTGGTTTCTCTTCAGGTCCTCTGCTGCAGCCCCATGGTCCCAGTGATGTGCACTCAGCAGCGTGTGGGGTGACCTGCATGAGCCTCAGCATCTGGGAGCCACTGTCCTTCATTCCTGTGTGTTTTCCAGGCATAGGTAGAGGGCGACACAGCACTGGGATGCCGACTTTTCCCCTCCCCCACTCCCCACCTCATAGCAGAAGCATCGGAGTGTTTTGGAAGTTGGGTCTTGGTGTTCAAAACTCTCCCTGAACTCGGGGCTTCTGTGGCAGTCAGTGCCTTGGAGTGCAGATGAGAACATCTGCCTAGCCCACCTGCATTGACAACTTTCTTTTTTTTTTTTTTAACTTTTATTTAATGAATATAAATTTCCAAAGTACAGCTTATGGATTACAATGGCTTCCCCCCCATAACATCCCTCCAACCCGCAACCCTCCCTTTATCCACTCCCTCTCCCCTTCCATTCACATCAAGATTCATTTTCGTTTCTCTTTATATACAGAAGATCAGTTTAGCATACATTAAGTAAAGATTTCAACAGTTTGCTCCCACACAGAAACATAAAGTGAAAAATACTGTTTGAGTACTAGTTATAGCATTAAATCTCAATGTATAGCACACTAAGGACAAAGATCCTACATGAGGAGTAAGTGCACAGTGACTCCTGTTGTTGACTTAACAAATTGACACTCTTGTTTATGGCGTCAGTAATCACCCTAGACTCTTGTCATGAGCTGCCAAGGCTACGGAAGCCCCCTGAGTTCACTGACTCTGATCATATTTAGACAAGGCCATGGGCAAAGTGGAAGTTCTTTCCTCCCTTCAGAGAAAGGTACCTCCTTCTTTGATGACCCATTCTTTCCACTGGGATCTCACTCGTGGAGATCTTTCATTTAGGTTTTTTTTTCCCCCAGAGTGTCTTGGCTTTCCATGCCTGAAATACTCTCATGGGCATTTCAGCCGGATCCGCATGCCTTAAGGGCTGATTCTGAGGCCACAGTGCTGTTTAGGACATCTGCCATTCTATGGGTCTGCTGTGTATCTCACTTCCCATGTTGGATCATTCTCTCGCTTTTTTATTCTATCAGCTAGTATTTGCAGACACTATTTTTGTTTATGTGATCCCTTTGGTTCTTAGTCCTATCATTACAATCAATTGTGAACAGAAATTGATCACTGGGACTAGTGAGATGGCATTGGTACATGCCACCTCGATGGGATTGAATTCGAATCCCCTGGTATGTTTCTAACTCTACCGTTTGAGGTAAGTCAGCTTGAGCATGTCCCGAATTGCACATCTCTTCCCTCTCTTATTCCCACTCTTATATTTAACAGCGATCACTTTTCAGTTAAGTTTCAGCACTTAAGAATTGTGTATTGATTACAGTATTCAACCAAAAGTATTAAGTAGAACAAACAAAAAAATACTAAGAGGAATAACATATTAAGCTGCTCATCAACAGTCAGGGTGAGGGCTCAGTTAGTTGTCACCTATCAAGGAGAACAAGTGGTATTTGTCCCTTTGGGATTGGCTTATTTCACTCAACATAATGTTTTCCAAATTCCTAACAGGGATCACTTTTCAGTTAAAAATTAGACACCTAAGAATAATTGTGTGTTAATTACAGAGTTCAACCAATGGTACTAGAACAAAAAAAATACTAAAATGGATAAAGTATTACATTGTACATCAACCGTCAGGACAAGAGCTGATCAAGTCACTGTTTCTCATAGTGTCCATTTCACTTCAACAATCAATCCAACATCTACAGCCAACTCATATTTGATCAAGGATCCAAACCAATCCCTGAAGTAAGGACAGTCTATTCAATAAATGGTGCTGGGAAAATTGGATTTCCACGTGCAGAATCATGAAGCAAGACCCCTACCTTTCACCTTACACAAAAATTCACTCAACATGGATTAAAGACTTAAATCTACGACCTGACACCATCAAATTATTAGAGAGCTTTGGAAAAACCCTGCAAGATATAGGTACCGGCAATGACTTCTTGGAAAACACCCCAGAAGCACAGGCAGTCAAAGCCAAAATTAGCATTTGGGATTGCATCAAATTGAGAAGTTTCTGTACTGCAAAAGAAACAGTCAGGAAAGTGAAGAGACAACCAACAGAATGGGAAAATATATTTGCAAACTATGCAACTGATAAAGGGTTGATAACCAGAATCTACAAAGAAATCAAGAAACTCCACAAGATCAAAACCAACAACCCACTTAAGAGATGGGCCAAGGACCTCAATAGACATTTTTCAAAAGAGGAAATCCAAATGGCCAACAGACACATGAAAAAATGTTCAAGATCACTAGCCATCAGGGAAATGCAAATCAAAACCACAATGAGGTTCCACCTCACCCCAGTTAGAATGGCTCACATTCAGAAATCTACCAACAACAGATGCTGGAGAGGATGTGGGGAAAAAGGGACACTAACCCACTGTTGGTGGGAATGCAAACTGGTTAAGCCACTATGGAAGTCAGTCTGGAGATTCCTCAGAAACTTGAATATAACCCTACCATTCAACCCAGCCATCCCACTCCTTGGAATTTACCCAAAGGAAATGAAATTGGCAAACACAAAAGCTGTCTGCACATTAATGTTTATTGCAGCTCAATTCACAATAGCTAAGACCTGGAACCAACCCAAATGCCCATCAACAGTAGACTGGATAAAGAAATTATGGGACATGTACTCTATAGAATACTATACAGCAGTCAAAAAAAACCAGTCATTTGCAACAAGATGGAGGAATTTGGAAAACATCATGCTGAGTGAATTAAGCCAGTCCCAAAGGGACAAATATCATATGTTCTCCCTGATCGGCGAAAACTAACTGAGCACCAAAGGGGAAACTTGTTGAAGTGCATTGACAACTTTCTAATAAACCCATCAGCAAAACCATTTTTGCATCATGAAGATCAGGGACACACTGGTGTCTGCTGTTTGTCAATGCTTGGTCAAAAACTCAAGAATTCAGGGGTTTCCTCCCACCCTCTCCCCCATCTTCTTGCAGCGATTTAAAGCACCTACAAAGGAGACATTCCAAGGGGGAGCTGTGGCTAAGGGCTGTCCATAGAACTCAGAGGTCTTGCATTGTGAAGTTCAGGGACCCTCCTGGCATTTACAAAGGCCAAAATAACAAATGTGTTCTCCTCACTTCCTGGAATTGTTGTAAAGGAAATGGACGCCGTCAGAGGCATCTTTCTCCATGTTCTCTGTAGGGTCATTTTTCAGCTGAGAGTAAGACACATGCTTGAAGAAGCTTCAAGTAATTCTCATTTGCCCAGCTCATCTTCAGTAAATCTGGGGACTGGCTGTAGATAAAGATAGGGCAGCCCTGGCTGAGCTCCCAGCTGACTGAGCAACCTGCCAGCCCTGTGAGCGAGCTGCCTTAGGGCCAGATCCTCTAGCCCAGTGGGGTCACCCCAGTCGACAGCTAGTGCCACAGGCTCAGGGACAGCAGGTTCCCACTGAACCCTGCTCAAATTGCAGATTTCTGAAGAAAATAATTAATTTGTTGCTTTAAAAATATTTAAGCGACAAAGAATAATTGTGTTTATTTGTGAGGCACAATGTGATGCTTTGATAAATATATCCATTATGGAGTGAATAATTCAAGCTAAGTAGCATATCTTTCACCAATACAATTTTCTTTTAGTGATATGAACATTTAGAACCTGCTCTCTTAGCAGTTTCTGAGAACACAATATGTTGCTGTTGACTGTAGTCACCACGCTGTACAACGCACCTCCGGAACTTCCTTCTCCTGTCTGGTTGACACTTTGTACCATTTAACCAACATCCTCCCTCTCACCCTCTCAGGCTTTGGTAGCCACCATTCTACTCCACTTCTGCTCATTCAACTAGTTCAGATCTCACATAAAAGTGAGATCACTTGGTATCTGCCCTTTGGTGTCTGGCTTATTTCACCTACCATAATGTCCTCCGCATTCATCTATGTCGTAAGTAACAGAATCTGTTTCCCTGTTTTTAAAGGCTGAATAGTATTCCACTGTGTATATCAGGCAGCTTTGAAATTTTCTTAGAAAGTGGTATTAAAGACAAGTTCTTTTGGTTAAAAACATTTTGAAATTCATGCATGGGAGGGGGTATTCAAAACATTCATGGAAACTGAGTATTATGAGAAAAAGCTATGTGTGGATTTCAAATTCATTTGCAGCAGAGTAAGATTTTCTTTTAATTCCATCTTTCTCCCTTCCTTCCTTTTTTCTTTTTTTTTTTTTTTTTTGACAGGCAGAGTGGACAGTGAGAGAGAGAGAGACAGAGAGAAAGGTCTTCTTTTGCCGTTGTTTCACCCTCCAATGGCCACCACAGCTGGCGCGCTGTGGCCGGCGCACCGCGCTGATTCGAAGGCAGGAGCCAGGTGCTTCTCCTCGTCTCCCATGGGGTGCAGGGCCCAAGCACTTGGGCCATCCTCCACTGCCTTCCCAGGCCACAGCACAGAGCTGGCCTGGAAGAGGAGCAACCAGGACAGAATCCGGCGCCCCGACCGGGACTAGAACCCGGTGTGCCGGCGCCGCTAGGTGGAGGATTAGCCTATTGAGCTGTGGCGCCGGCGTTAATTCCATTTTTCTATGAGCCTTGTGAGGGACCCTCATGCATACCATATCTTCTTTGCCTGTTCATCCATTGCTGGACACTTAGACTGATTCTCTATCTTGGCTGTTGTGAATAGTGCTGCAATAAACATGGGAATGCAAATGTATCTTCAACATATAGATTCCTTTTCCTCTGGATATGTACCCAGAAGTGGGATTGCTGGATCAGATGGTAGCTCTGTTAGTAGTGTTTTGAGGAAACTCCATACTATTGATGATTGTTTTGAAGCTTTGCATTTTGGGGAGTTTGCTGTGTAGCAATATATAATCAGAGCGCCTGATTTCTAGGAGACCATGCTCCCGGTTTTCTTCCTGCGTCATTGTCATTGTTTCTTTCTCTCTTTTAATACTTCCTCCTCTGCCTTTGGTTTTTTCACTTGTTGTTATGCAGTATTTTAGTCACACACAAAATGCACAGTGAAGTATAATGGAATTCCCTGTAGATTTCACCCAGCTTAAAGATTTATCTATTCAGCACCTCATTTCATTCATGCTCCTGCCTACTTTTACCCCACCTTACAAGGCTACCTCCGAAAGTTCATGGAAAAATAAAATTGTGTTTTAAAAATGTTATTTATTTATTTTATTTGAGAGGCAGAGAGAGCAACAGAGAGAGTGCTCCCATCTGCTGAGTCACTCCCAAATGCCCACAACAGCTGAGACTGGCAGGAGCCCAATTACTTGAGCCATCACCACTGCTTTGGAGACAGCACATTAGCAGGGAGCTGATAAGAGAGCTAAAACTTGAACTCAAGCACTCCGATATGGGATGTGGGTATCTCACATTGGCATTTTAACATCTGGGCCAAACACTTACCCCAAATGACCTTTTAATTCTATTTTCCTGTGAACTTTTCAAAGTATCTATTAAGATAATTGTGAGGATTAAGTGACTTACATATGCACAATGCTTAGAGCAGTGCTTGCATTTATAGAATGGTTGGGTTTGATACTGCATCTCCAGTGCAGAGCTCTTGTCTCCAAACCACCCTCAGACTTTCATAAACCTGGGTGATATCTACTTGGACTCATAACTAAATATTTTTCATACACTGATGATTCCTAAATTTAATTTCTGCACTAGAATTGTGGCTCAAAGCATGAATTCTGCTTCTTACATGCTTGGGTTCAAGTCATGCTCTTCTGACAACTACTTCCCTTGGCCTCAAATATGTTACTCTGAGTGGCTCAGTTTCTTCAGTATTATTATTGTTATTATTATTTTTATTTGACAGGTAGAGTTATAGACAGGGAGAGAGAGAGACAGAGAGAAAGGTCTTCCTTCCGTTGGTTCACTCCCCAAATTGGCGCACTGTGCCAATCCGAAGCCAGGAGCCAGGTGCTTCCTCCTGGTCTCCCATGTGGGTGCAGGGCCCAAGCACTTGGGCCATCCTCCACTGCACTCCCGGGCCACAGCAGAGAGCTGGACTGGAAGAGGAGCAACCAGGACTAAAACCTGGTGCCCATATGGGATGCTGGCGCCGCAGGCGGGGGATTAACCAAGTGAGCCATGGCGCCGGCCCCGGCTCAGTTTCTTAATCTGTGAAATAAGAGGAGATATTTCCTACTACCTTTTGGGGCTGTTGTGAAGATTAAATGACTTACATACGTAAAAAGCTTAGAACAGTGCCCCCATGTATACAACAGTTTGGTTTGTGACTGCATCTCTAGGCCAGGCCTCTTGCCTGAACTCCAGGCTTGTATATACAACCGCTTATTTGGCATTCTTACTTAGATGTCATATGGACATCTCAAGCATATTATTCTAAAACCAAACTCCCGATCTCCCCACTGAGTCTCTTTGCATCTCCTCTGCCAGCTCCTATCTCAGTTAATGGCATCTTCATCTGGTTATTTTTTAGCATTATCCTTGACTTTTCTTTTGCTTTCATATCTCACAACAAATTCTGTTGGCTCCATTTTCAAAATTATAGCTAGAGCCACTGATAATTATGACCTCTGTAGAAACCACTCTTATCTCTTGCCTATAAAATTGCAAGAGTTTCCTAACTGGTCAGCTTGCTTTCACCTTCTCTCTCCCTGCATTCTCTCCCTCTCCCTCAAAAATCTATCCCCAACTCAACAGAGTAGTCCTTTAAAAAGACTTAAGTCAGATTCTCTCACTCTTGTTTTAGAAACCCTCCAATGCCTTCTCATTTGATTCAAGGAGAACATAAAAGTTTCTACAACACTCTCTGATTCCATCTCTGTCTGTACTCTTAGCTGGGCTTTTCTCTGCTCCTTAGACATACTGTGGGGGCGGCGGCAGTGGGGGGGTGGTGGTGTCCCACCTTACATCTTTGCAATTCAGCCACCCATTTTCTTAAAATTCTCTTTGCTCAGATCTTCATGGTAAGCTCTCGCCCTTGTCTGGGCATAATGTTATATTTTCTCATTTAATGGCCATTCTGCTTGATGAGCTTCAATTCTTGTTAACATTCCATTCCCAACTTCAACAGTTGCACAGTTCTCTGTTGCCTTTTTTTTTTTCTTAATGTTTATCACCTTCGAGCATACTTCATACTGTTCTCACTTGGTTTGCATGCCATTTGTTCTTTGTCTCCTTCTCCTAAAATGTAAGCTTCTTCAGGGCATTTTTGTTTTGTTTACTGCTGAATCCCAAACATCTAAGACAGTGCCTGGTGCACAGTAGATACATAGACAGAGAGACAGGGAGATAGAAGGTAGAGGGATCTATCTGTGTTTCAGAAAGATCACACAGGAAGCCATACAGAGGATAGTTTGGAGGTAAGGAAGAATGGAAACCACTGAGATCTGCATAATAATCTTTGCAAGAAGTGATGAGATAGTTTGAGCTAGAAAAGAGACAAAAAGGGAACTGAACAGGAATTTTTTGGTTGACGTAGTGGAAGTGGATGAGAGTTTGGTCATGGGAGATAGAGAGAGAGTGAGAGAGGGAGAAAGAGAGAGCGAGCGAAAATTATCAGTGATGGCTTTCAGATTTCTGGTGTGGGACATTGAAGGGGATGTCACATGCAACAAATTTTAAAAAAGCAGAAGTTGTTTTAGATATGTAGCAAATGGGGGCGTATCATGTTGGAACAGTATAGAAAAAAATACAGGCCCAAATTAGGAAGGAATCTTTAAGCTCTTAATTGCAACTTTAAAAACTGCATTTCAGTTATTGTATGTGAGTAGTCTTATCTATTTAGATTGCCACCTCATTTTAAAAAATGTTCGTTTCTTCCACTGACAGTGCTGAACTAATAGCAGGACTCTGAGAAATAGTTGCGATTGATTGATAGCCTGAAGCGTATTTTAAGTAAAGAAGCTTAGCTACCCCCTCCCCCACACTTGCTAGAATTATAGCTATGACACACTGCTAGATGATCCCCAAGTATTATCTGCTTCTTCCGGGGTAGTAGAATTGAACCTGGACACATGACCACTTATCTAGAAACTATGTTTTCTAGGTATCCTTGAAGTTAGAAGGGGCCTTGTATGCTGGGGTCAGACAGGGCAATGATAGTGGAAGCCATTTGCTGGCCTTTCCAGACCTCAGCCTTAAAGCAACAGAAATCTGCTCCCTGTCTGTCTGGCTCCTCACTCCCGAAGTGAAGCAGGGCTCTTCTGTGACCCAGCTTTGAACATGCAGATGAAATAAAATGCTCTAGTGGATGGCAGAATAGGCTGACTGGACTGTTTGGGAGACTAAAGGTCTGACTTCTTTAAACTTCAGTCTTTTGTTACAAAAACTTAGCCTTCATTTTGGCTAATACAATAGGTAAACTCAACCGGTGCCTTTGTTTTTTTTTTCTGTGTCCCCAGTTACTCAAAGAAAATGTAAATACATTCAATAGAGAAATTCTTACAACATTGATAAATCGTTCTCCTGGTTCTGCTCTTTGCATTGGTAAATGTGTTCTCTAAATGTGGTAAGGACCCACAGAAGCAGAGTGAGCACTCAAGGTAGGTTAATCTGAGGGTACTTTTAAAAGTTAATGGAAATGCAGCTGGCACCATGGCTCATTTGGTTAATCCTCTGCCTGTGGTGCAGGCACCCTGGGTTCTAGTCCCGGCTGCTCCTCTTCCAGTCCAGCTCTCTGCTGTGGCCTGGGAAGGCAGTGGAGGATGGCCCAAGTGCTTGGGTCCCTGCACCTGCATGGGAGACGGGAGGAAGTACCCAGCTCCTGGCTTCAGATTGGCGCAGTGCCAGCTGTAGCGGCCATTTGGGGCCAATGGAAGGAAGACCT